AAAAATCATCTCAAAGTAAAAATCATCTCACTGTCCAAAAAAGTCCTGGCTGATGCAAAAAAAAGTCTTGCCGTGATCGGATATTTTTTAAAAGAAAAGAAAAAAAATCTCTGCAAAGCCCCACAAAAAGGTCAAAAATAAATAGAGGCCCACCACAAACAAGCACCGATTATAAAAATCATCATGAGTGCAAAGATTGTGTAGTTGGTAATGAGCGTCGAGCAGTCAACTAAGGCTAAACATCATGATCCACATCAACATGCAAGAACAGTAACTAACAGAGAACAAACCTTTTCCCTCATGCGTGTACTCCATGCATCATTTCTACTTGGACGATTATCAAGGGTACCAGCAACAGGGACGCCAGTTGCAGGATTTGGTGGCCTATTGTTGATCAGTGGCTGTCGGATTTGTTGTCTGGGACCACCTATGTACTCATCATCACTATCATAGTCTGCTGGTCTGTTCGCTGCCCTTACAACGAGGGCCAATAAGAATATAAGAGCCTGCAACTCATGTCAACAGCCAAAATTGAGAAATGCTGGGAGATAAAGACATTATTGAAATTCACGTAACTAATCCCAACTAGTTCGGGATTGACACTTAGTTGTTATACTGGGAGGAAAGGACAAAACAAACATCCAGTTCAAATATTCTCTATACTCAATATGGTCAAGCCAGCAGTAAGCAATGACTTTCACTAGGACGACCATGCCAACATCTCTAATGCACACCAAAAGGCCACAGCAGATATAACTGGTAGGGGGCATATTGCACCAACAGGGATGAATAGATTATATTTTAGTGCATTTTGCAGACCAATTCAGTGATTATCAATGCATGGGCAAGTTTAGCAACATAACCACTCCAACTGTGGAGATAGACATCTGAATAGGATCAGTAGCTAGTAAGAAATTCAAATGATCATTGGATAGACAACATAACGGAATTGAATGTGAAAGAACATGGCGCAGGGCGCAAACAACATTGAAAGCAGTTTTGTATAAACTCCTCGTATTTCACTCACAATCCAACAATGCATGTCTTTTTCTTCTATCCTTCTTTTTTCTTGGGAACAAAAAACCATATAGACTGTTCTTAACCTCAGCGGCAGATCCAGGATTTGATGGTTGCGGGTGCCACTGTATTTAATGTAAACTTACCAGTAGCCAAAAAGGTTGAATTTGAGTATACATCCATTAGGCTGGTTCGCTATATTTTAAATTAATTCGGTTCGGTTCAGTTCGGTTCATTTTGAGTTAATTTGGTTTGCTAAAAAGAAAAATGATTAAAAATATATTCAAATAAAAAAATTTGAGACCTAGAACAAGAAAACATAGGCAAATATACTTTTATAATCTAAATTAATAAAAATGAGATTTATATAGAGAGAAAATATAAAAATGAAGATAAAAGAAGTTAAGAAAAAGAGGAGAAAAGAAAACAATATGGAAAGAAGGAACATAAAAAAAAAATTAGCTCAATATGAGTGAGAGGAGGATCGATCTTGGTATTGGGCTTGGGAAGGGCTACTTTGCCCATTGCACCTACAGCCATTTTGTGACTTGGGGTGCCACTAATTATTTATATACCTTTTCTACGTGAAATACTAGTTAAACACCAATCCGTACAAGAAATTCTACCCGAGCGACCGGGTGGCGTACCACCCCGTCACCTCTACATAGATCTGCCCCTGCTTAACCTTACCTCCAAAATAACTGCCCCAAGGGCAACCCATTTGATAATCTTCCAGTGGTCCTCCAGAAAGTCATAGATCGTATCAAAGTTACCCGTTTTGTCACTTGGAATTTCCTGACAAAAACTTTCATCACTTTTCTGACAACAAATGTATAGTTTGAAAGTGAATTCATGAATTAGAAAAACTCTTACCTCTCTCCAGCTTTTGTCAAAGAATATAAAACCAGCAGCACCTAGCTCTACCAAGATCAACAAGAAAAGCAGCACAGAGTACTGTCATAGTTAAGGTGCCAAACATGCTTCATAGAAGCCTGAGAAGAGAACTCAGATGAACACTCTAGTAACTCCGATATCCTAAAAATCAACAACGCCTGTCGGACATGAGGGATTCGGGGAGTACTGCAACACGGGCAAGAGGATAACAATAAACCGAAAAAGCAATTAATAGACATGTAGTCCAGTCCATCTCCTCTGACATGTGACGAAGTTAGGATTAAGCCCAAAATGATCCAGAACTCATCCAAGTTTGTTCAAAATAAAAAGCTATAAAAGTAAGATTTCGAAAATCTGACTGAAAATGCTCCTATTGATCCAAATCACAAATCTGCCCAACATCATAACTTCTAGCATTTCGAAATATTTGATTTTGATGAAAGAATATATTTCTTAAAAAAATCATAGGTTTTTCACAAATAAGTTACCATGACTACTGAACAAATGATAAGGATACACAACTCAGGCAGCATCCGTTCCTTGTTGCCGCTCCAATGCAACCACAGCAAGATACAACGACAAGAACCGCTCCAATACCAATGAATAAGTATATGAACCTGCAACATAACAAATAGATCAATTAGTTTTCCAAAGAACACGTACAAAGTCCAATCAACTAAGCATTAGTGCATGAAAGTCAACTTGGAAAAGCAGCAGAATACCAATATGACTCATCCACAGCAAAACTTTATCTCAAAGAAAGGTCATTGATTAGCAATAAAGGAAGAATAGTCTTGTCATTTTATATTTTTTATAAATCACGTAGTCAAGTTCTAAGAATTCAAACCTACTCAAGGCTAAAGAGATAGAATGACAAAAAGGCTCTTAACCTTAATATGAACGCAAACAAACAGGCGAGGCAATTTATATTTTATTTTTTATAAAGGTGGTATTCGAGCCAACTAGCATGCACCTCGACTATTCCACCAGGTATCTGCTATCCCCACAACCACAGGTATCAGTTAACTTTGGCACCAAGGTTTAGGCAAATGGGAAGATCTACTAGCATTTCTTTGTCTCTCTTGGAATTTGAAACCCTTGTCTCCAAGGTTTTCATCCACTTCATCACCACTTGGCCACACCCTTGGATGTGGTATATAGTTTGTTTTCTTCATTTATGTTTCCACATTTCTTTCCCTTCTATTCCCAAGAAACACCTAAAATAATTCAACCACTGTACACCAGACATCAACAAAATCCTTAGCAAAACTTTATCCCAAAAGAATAAGTCATTGATTAGCAATAAAAGGAAGAATGGTCTTTTCATTTTATATTTTCCAAAACTCGTGTAGATAAGTTCTGAGAATTCAAACCCATTCAAAACTAAAGACCATATTATGACGAAAAGGCTCGTCTATGTTTATAATTTAATATTGACGTAAACAAACAGGTGAAGACCATATATAGTTCGTTTTCTTCATTTATATTTCCACATGTCTTTCCTTCTACTCCTAGGGAACACTCAAATTAATTCAACCTTTGCATATACTTTCTTCAAGGAATACAATAAGTTACAGTTTAGCAAAAAGCTAAAAATATATTAATTGCCTATCAGTTCCAGATTTGCTGCCAATGCAGCAAACATGCAATACAAAAGGATTACAGCACAGCAGAGTAATCTATACCCCTAGGTGACAGAAACATTATCAATAATCCTCAAAGGGTCATGACCAAAAACTCATAGAAGTATTGAATAAAATAATAACTAAAAATTGTTTCAGTTGCTTTCTAAAAGTTCTAAATTACGACTTGTGAAGTGGGAGGAAATTTTAATCAAAAATTTTTAGTAAAATAAGCTTCAAAATCTCCAAAGAGAAAATTACAGTACACAGAATTGACAATTCAATGCATGACTTCTTGAACGTAGTTTGGTTGTATAGAATGTAGTACAATAGGGGCATCCTACTTCCTTGGGAAANCCCCACCCACCCCCAACAGCACCCCTGAAAATTGAAAAGAAGAAAAAAGGAGGATGAAACTAAAAATGAAGTCATACATTCTGGATGATGGTTATTCCTGACATGAAGAGTAGAGTTTGAAGTTTATCAAGGGATGGATATAAAGCCTTCCATACACAGTCAAAACTAACAATGGAGATACATGAAGTTTGCAGTTAATCCATGTCCTCGTGTGAATACCCCAAATCAATCACCTTATATGTTAGAGATGTTGAGAAGCACAGAAGCATAGGAAATCTATTTACACTTTACATAAGGTAGAAAAAGGGCTATCATCAAATTGGAGTAAAGAGAGTGCAGGTGGGTTTGGTGAGTTTCAGACCATGATTAACGTAATTGTTAGGAGTGACATGAAAAAAAACAGATGGGTGAAATATGTGATCCCTGGTAAGGGAAATGCAGAAGGAATCATTATCCTATGGGATGAAAGAAAGATGGAAATGGTTGGATGATAAGGAGTTTACTCCACTGCATCATGATCCAAGAGCATAGGAAGCAACATGGAGTGAGGTTAGGGGAGGGATACAGGCCAGTGGGTGAGGGATCAAAGAGAGAGTTTTAGAATTAACTCCGTGCTTTTATCAGGTCGGGGACTACTTTGAGTGATTTTGAAGAGATTTTAACTCAATAAGGTTCCTAGGGATGAAGATCGGGTGTGATCCTTTCTCTAGAGAAATGGAGGGGACTTTGGAGCTTTTTATTGTTAACCATCAATCCCTAGATCTTCCATGGACAAGTGATAGTTTTACATGGTCTAGATCATAGGAGTCAAGATCTAAATCTAGATTAAACAAATTTTTAGCATCCACCGGATATGAGAAAATGACATTGGACATAAATCAAAAGCCTTAGCCAAAACTTGCTTCAGATTATTTGCCTATTCTTTTAGACACAGCAAAACTAAGAAAACTACAAGCACCTCTTCAATTTGAGAATGTGATTGAAAGCGAAATATTTTGGCCAAGGCAGACATAATGGTGGAGTTGCCAAGTTAAAGGGAATCTTTAGTTCAGCCTTGTAAAGAAACTGAGAAATTTGAAAGGGGTTCTTAGCCAATAAAATATAGAAGTATTTGGAAGGGTAGAAAAGTCGAGATGTCAAAACTTATGAACAAAGAAGAGAACGGAGGGGGGTTGGAACTAGATGATGGCTAAAAATGAGGAAATATGAAATGGAGAGAGAGCTAGATTTAATGGATATAGCACAAGAAATTAGTTGGAGACAAAAATAGAGGGTATCATGGTTAAAGGAAGGGGATAACAAGACAAGTTCTCCCAGTGCAAGTTACAGCGAATAAGAGGAGAAATTTTGGAGAAGTTTTAGTAGTGGGAAAAACTTTGTATAATGGAGGGGAGAGAGTGAAGGGATGTCCTATCTCCCATACTATTCATTTTGGTCACGGAAGTATTGAGCAATAAACATGATGATGGATGGAGCTGGCATGACCATGAAAAAAAGAGTAACACGCGTACCTGCTCTAGGTTGAAGTGCAAATTTTGTGAGTGCCAATTTTGCTGTACTTTCCATGAAGAAAGACAAAAAGGAAGTGCTAAAAACTTCTAGTTCAACGAGGATCCCTTTGATGTGCAAAAAGTGAAAGAAATAAACCTAGTGTTGAGAACTTGAGATCATCTATTTTGGTACTTCTCATGGAACAAAGTGAAAAAGATAGAGAGATCATTAGACGCAAGTAAATTCTTAGGAAAAAATCAAGCAATGTTTCCCAAATCCAGTTCACGTTTATTCTGTCTAAATGAACAATCATCTCCTATGCGGAAGAGACTATCTTCTCAATTTCACTAATCAGAGAAGCAACAGACTATACCTTTTAACTCTTTAAAAGATTCTGCCCTTATCTTTTTTAAGTGTGACATCCCTCTAAAAACCAATGAAGAACTAGCATATGCGACATTACTAACTAGCAAATACAGCTTCCAGTAGAAGTAATCACACCATCGTAATCATCTCGAATTCAGCTTCAAGGCTTAGCACAAACAATCAAAATAAGAATTATGGGGAAAAGGGTATTCATACCAAGCTTTTGGAAGTTTATCAAAGATGTTGTCAGCCAACGATACAGCGATCAGCATTGGACGACCGAACTCTATCACTTCAGCACTACTTGTTGGTGCAACCGGGTAATCATCCCCAGAGGACGAATGATTTTTGTACTCAACAAAGAGGTAAATACCATACCCCACCATTGCCAAACCAACAAGGGTCAACAAGAAGTTCAAGAGCTTCAACAAGCACTCCCAGAACCCTTTACACGCCATTCTCTACACTTCCTTCACAAACCCTTTAAATAAAACAACAGTTCCTTTTAAAATTTCAGCTAATTCATCAAATTCCCTAAAAATACCAACATACACAAAACCCACTCATCAATACTTCAGAATTATCCAAAACACATAAAAATCCAAACTTTTTCACACACAAAAAAAAAAAATTGTCTAACACCAATACATATGTACATAATCATATCCAATAAATACCCATTTGATTAAAAAGAATAAAGCAGCTTTATATAGATGCATCACAGCAAAAGGGATATGATAAACATGAAATTCTGCCTATGGATGATCTGTTATGGGAAAACAATTAAAGGGGTGAATATTCATGAGAAATTTAAAGTCTTGGAGCAAGAATCTTGAGATATAATTACAAATTAACAAGATTTGGGATTATCAATTGAGCTTATACAAAATTAGAAATTGGGATAAATTGGTTGGAAAATACTTACAAGAAAAGCAGAATAGCGGCAAGATTTGAGATGGGAAGACTGGAAGGTTGTAAGAGAAGGAGAGAGATGAAGAGAAAAAGGGGAAAAAAATGGCCAAAAGGTTAGCTGGCTGTCTGGTACCTTTTCCGTTATCGCTAAAGTGATTTATGATATGGGCACTCTTATTTTTGCTAAGTACAAACTCATTCTATTTCTATTTATGTGATGTGATAGAATTTCTTATAAAAAGAATAATGTAGTTCTATATTTAAAAATAATTTATATTCAAATTTTATATATTATATTTCTAGTGAGATAAATATAGACACATTATTATTTATAACTTATTTTGTATTATAAATTTTAAAATATTTTTAAAATTTTAAATATAATTAAAGTGCATCACATAAAACGAGTCATTGAATTAATATTTTGGTTTTTTTTATTTGCTCTTTTCTTCTTCTTTTTTTTTTTTGGAGTGGTTAAATATGGATTTCTTATGGACATTAGAATTCACATCTAATATCTTCATTCTTTTGAGTATTTTACGTTATTAACAATCAAATGTATACAAAAGTTCTTTTTTATTTTTAAACTATTAAAATTAGGTTATTAATGATATTTCCCTTTCTTCTAATTTATATGATATACATTAAACTTGCTATTAGTCAGTGCTTATTGTTATCTTTTTAGCTTATGAGTTTGTTATACAGTCAAATCTCTCTGTAACAACCTCGTTTGTTCTGAATATTTTTGAATATTACAGAGAAGTGTTTGTTTGAACAAAAAGTTTAAGATTCTTTTGCCAAATCAATTATCAATAATGAAGAAGGTAAATCTTAGCCAAGCATAATTAATCTTCTGATCCAAACATATACAGCGTGAAATAACGAAAGGTAAGAGCATATTAGATTTATTGATGTGATAATCTTACATCAAACACGAGAGATGAGCTTACATCTGAAGCAAAAAAGAATCGTGAATGAAGGAGCAAAGAGGAAAAAGTGAAGCAATTTTTCATCCGCGAGAGATCCTTCTTTCCTCTTCTTATTTTCTTTCTTTTTCCTCCCTTGTCTGTTGTCCCTTTTTTCCTTGAAAAAGTCCCCCCTTTTTCTGAGCCTACCTGCCATATATATAGTTCCTAGAACTTTTTATTCAATGGTCTTTGACCAACATGCTTTCCTGCAAATGTCCCTTTTGTCATTACTCGAACACAATATTGACTTGGCGTATGCTTTCGATGATTTGACCCCGAGGATGGCGGAGGTGTTCTTTGCTATTTCACCACCTGGGCGGGATCCCGGCTTGGTCGACCCCCTATCATTCCTATTGGGGGCGACCTCTACAGTCAGGTTTTGACATATACAGTTAGTCCCTCCGTCCGCCGAGGTCGTCTCTTAGCGGGCTCGACGGGCGCACTCTGTCGATTCGAAAGTTAGGAGAAATCTTAATGTTTACGCCTTGAGTGAGGTTTTTAGATCGAGGCAATGGCGTGACGCTTCAATGATACCCTTGGACCGTCACATCCATTCAGAGTTGAACCGTTGCGTTGATTCGAAATATAGTTTGTAGTCACTGCCATTATGACACACGTTCCTATGGATTGAACCGTTTCTTGTGCCCTATCAGTTTTGATTGGTGACTCTCGGGTTTCCCGCTCGAGGCATTTATGTTCATATAAATAGGGGGGAAACACCATTATATTGCCACACTTTTCGATCTATCAAAGGAATTTTGCGAGTCTTTACCTTCTCTGATACTTCAGATTTTTAGTTCACTCTTATGTTAGTCGGAAATTGACGCCACCGTCTTCCCTCTTACTTCCCTCCGCTCATTTACTTTGTTCAATCGAGATAAATGGCTGGTACTTCATCCCGCGCTGACAGACTTGCCGAAGTTTCGGTGCCAGAAAATGATGCTTTTGCTCCCAGAGGAATGGAGGTGGCAGAGGATGAGGGGGTCCCAACAGCGGCCGAAATATTGCCCCGTTCGGGAAAGTTATGGACCGATTTCAAAAGACTTTCGAAGAGAAACCGGAGTCTGTTTCCTCTATTATGGATGAAGCGTCGATTGCAGAGCTTAAGATCAAATGGGGGATTCCGCACCATGTTGAGATGTTGCCGGCGGTGGGAGATGATATTGTACATTTTGACAGCCCAGGATATTATGTTTTCTACGCATACCCTTTTATTGTCGGATGCTTCCTCTCCCTTCCTTGGTAGTAGGCTTCTGCCGTTTCTACGAAGTATGCCCGGCTCAACTTTCGCAATACGGATACAAGTTGTTCCTCATGCTGCTCAAGTTCGTGGAGCTTACCGGTCGGGAGAACACTCTGGGGCATATGCTCAATATTTTTGCCCCTCAACTTATTCGAGGCATGATGATCCACATACGCCATCGAGGAATGAAGAGTCTGGTGGTGAAGATGGACGATAGATCCAATCGTCATTTTTGGGAAAGCTACTTTTATGTGCGAACCGAGCACCTTGTGACGGACTCAGCAAGGTTCCCTGAGAGGTGGAACTTCACACGTAAGTTTTTTTTCTGTATCTCCTGTCGGAGTGGTGGTCGACCATTTTTCTTTGGGTAGCATTGTTAAATCATTTTTACTTTTGCAGCCGAGAGATTACCTCCTACGCCTGTTGACAATATCTGCGAATGGGTGAATGACATTCTTCCCATACGGTGGGGGTTCGCGAATGGGCGTCCTTCTATGAGAAATACGGGCGTAAGCCCCTTACTGGTAAGTCGACTTGCCGCAGCTTCTCTATTTTTCGCCTTGCAATTTGACCTCGTTACTTACACGACCATTACTGTTAACAGTGAGAGTGCGAAGGACGAGGGCTCCTCCGCTAACATTCCGTCGACCGACGTATTCTGCTCGACTTGCACCGAGGTCTGCTGCCTGACATACATTGAGGGCTACTCAAGTTGAACCTACGACCGGAGCCGTGTGCATGGAAATTGTTCCCCAACCTGGGACTCCTGCTCTTACTGCCCACTCAACGGGTGAATCTTCCCGTGCTGAGGACGGGGAGGGTCCGTCGAAGAGAGAGTGAGTGAAGTCCAAAATGGCTTCTTCAGCCGTAGTATATTCAGAGGGCGACCTTCCCTTGACAGTTTTTGAAATGGGTGGTGGTGCTAACCCGGTCGCAGAGGTAAACCCGGCGATCGAGACCAACCCGACGGTAGAGGATCCGGCTGTCGTGATTGATCAACAAGCTATTGCGACAGGAAGTCGGGGCCCCGAGGCTGCTGTTGCCACTTTGGGAAGGCCTTCGTCTTTCGGACCGAGTCGTGCTTCTTCTTCAGCCGCAGATAGGGGAAAGAGTGTCGTGGTCGATGACTACGAGTCTGAATCCGATCTTGATCCTTGTCACACCTCCTTTTTACCGCGCCCGCGAGGGTGCAAGGGAGTTTTCTCCAATTAAAGGACAGTCGAAACGGGATTTGTTTGTTTGTTTCAGAGTCGCCACCTGGGAATTTTAAGGCGTCCCAAGTCACCAATTTTAATCCCTGAATCGAGGAGAATATGACTCTGTTTATTATTCTGCGAACCAGAAATCCGGATAAGGAATTCTGTTAACCCGGGAGAAGGTG